ACGCGGGCCCGACACCGGCACGTGGCGGGGGGCTACGGGGGTGGGTGGGGGGGCGAGAGGATTGACAGCTCCAGCTCATTCCGAATCTTCGTGTGGCTCATGTCGATGGAGAGATTAGCGGCTGCCGTGTCGCGTTGGGGTGGGTTGACGAGCCAGGGCAGCGCTCTTCCATTGCAAGGCCCGGAGGTCATTGAAAGTCACTGGAGGTCACTGGAGGCCACTGGAGGTCACTGGAGGTCACTGAAAGTCACTGGAGGTCCCTGGAGGTCACTGGAGGCCACTGGAGGTCAATGGAGGTCACTGGAGGCCACTGGAGGCCACTGGAGGTCACTGGATGCCACTGGAGGTCACTGGAGGCCACTGGAGGTCACTGGAGGTCACTGGATGTCCCTGGAGGTCACTGAAGGTCACTGGAGGTCAGTGAAGGCCACTGGAGGTCACTGGAGGTCCCTGGAGGCCACTGAAGGTCACTGGAGGTCACTGGAGGTCCCTGAAGGTCACTGGAGGTCACTGAAGGTCACTGGAGGCCCCTGGAGGTCACTGGAGGTCACTGGAGATCACTGGAGGTCCCTGTTGGCCTTTAGCGAAGCCCCCCGACAATACACAAAACGTGAACACGCCTGCCCAATCATCATCACTATCATCGTGCTGCTGTAAAACCTCCAACAATGGTTTCAAATGCGTGGCGGCCCTCAACACACACCGATGATGTCTTATCGGCCAAAGTGGCACCCCTCTGGAAATGAGTGAAGAACACTGAGCCTGATGATTGCGCTAGGAGAAGCGGAGTGGTTGGTGCATCATCGCTGTGATGACGATGACCCCTCCTTCGTGTTTGTGTTTGTGAAGCGGACATCGAGTCGCTACGCGTTCCTCCGGTTTCGTTCTGGGTTGGTGATCACATTCGCCGCTCATTGACCGGAGATGTTTTGACCTCGCCAGCTTATTCGTTGCCTACCGATGTATGCGGCCGGCTGGCTGAGGGATCAGAGGGACACTGAGCCTCACGCCGCTCAGAGCCTGGCTTCGAATTTTGGTTTCAGACGCCCAGGCGTGATGAAACCCGCTTCTCAAGTGGTGGTTAGACGTTGGATTCAGCCCGGTCACAGATGACTTGCGTAGAGACCCGTAGGCCTTCAGAGGCTTGCACAGATCACCCATGGGGCTTATATGGAAACCACCAGACTGGCATAGATGGAGCTCTGATTAAACCGAGTTCACAAGCGAAGTGAGTGTGTGGTGGATTCAAACAGGTCACAAATGACTGCACACACACAAAATAAAACAATGATTATAAGTTGAGACTTAAAGCGTGGTGCGGGCACTGCTGCCCCTGGTGCTGTGCTGTGGAGCAGCAGCAGAGGGCATCATCTCTGTGACGTCTTCTTCCACGACACGGAGGTGCGTCTCCCGGTCTGCACGTGTATGCCTGTCGTTGTCTCTCTGTCTCTTGGTGTCTCTGTCTCTCTGGGTCTCTGTGTCTTTGTCTCTCTGTCTCTCGGTGTCTCTGTCTCTCTGTCTCTCTGTGTCTCTGCCTATCTGTGTCTCTGTCTCTCTGTCCCTGTGTCTTTGTCTCTCTGTCTCTCGGTGTCTTTGTCTCTCTCTGTGTCTTTGTCTCTCTGTCTCTCGGTGTCTCTGTCTCTCTGGGTCTCTGTGTCTTTGTCTCTCTGTCTCTCGGTGTCTCTGTCTCTCTGTGTCTTTGTCTCTCTGTTTCTCTGTGTCTCTGTCTCTCTGTCTCTCGGTGTCTTTGTCTCTCTGTCTCTCGGTGTCTTTGTCTCTCTGTTTCTCTGTGTCTTTGTCTCTCTGTCTCTCTGTGTCTTTGTCTCTCTGTCTCCCGGTGTCTCTGTGTCTTTGTCTCTCAGTCTCTCAGTCTCTCGGTGTCTCTGTGTCTCTGTGTCTCTGTTTCTCTGTGTCTTGGTGTCTCTGTCTCTCTGTTTCTCTATGTCTCTGTTTCTCTGTGTCTCTATGACTCTGTCCCTGTGTCTTTGTCTATCTGTCTCTCTGTCTATCTGTCTCTCTGTGTCTCTGCGTCTCTGTGTCTCTGTTTCTCTGTGTCTCTGTGTCTCTGTTTTTCTCTCTCTCTGTCTCTCTGTGTCTCTGTCCCTGTGTCTTTGTCTCTCTGTCTCTCGATGTCTCTGTCTCTCTGTTCCTGTGTCTTTGTATCTCAGTCTCTCGGTGTCTCTGCGTCTCTGTGTCTCTGTTTCTCTGTTTCTCTGTGTCTCGGTGTCTCTGTGTCTCTGTCTCTGTTTTTCTCTCTCTCTGTCTGTCTCTCTGTGTCTCTGTCCCTGTGTCTTTGTCTATCTGTCTCTCGGTGTCTCTGTGTCTCTGTTTCTCTGTGTCTCAGTGTCTCTGTCTCTCTGTCTCTCTGTGTCTCTGTTTCTCTGCCTCTATTTCTCTGTGTCTCGGTGTCTCTGTCTCTCTGTTTCTCTGTGTCTGCTTCTCTGTCTCTCTGTTTCCCTGTGTCTCAGTGTCTCTGTCTCTCTGTTTCTCTGTGTCTGCTTCTCTGTCTCTCTGTTTCCCTGTGTCTCGGTGTCTCTGTCTCTCGGTGTCTCTGTGTCTCTGTTTCTCTGTGTCTCGGTGTCTCTGTCTCTCTGTCTCTCTGTCTCTCTGTGTCTCTGTTTCTCTGCCTCTATTTCTCTGTGTCTCTGTGTCTCGGTGTCTCTGTCTCTCTGTTTCTCTGTGTCTCTGTTTCTCTGTGTCTCTGTTTCTCTGTGTCTCTGTGTCTCGGTGTCTCTGTCTCTCTGTCTCTCTGTTTATCTGTCTCTCTGTCTCTCTGTTTCCCTGTTTCTCTGTCTCTCTGTATTTCTGTCTCTCTGTGTCTGTGTGTCTGTGTGTCTCTGTCTTTCTGTTTATCTGTATCTGTGTCCCTGTGTTTCTGTCTCTCTGTCTATGTGTCCCTGTGTCGATATCTCTATGTATCTCTATCTCTCTGTGTCTCTCTATATGTCCCTGTGTCTCTGTCTCTCGGTGTTCCTGTGTCTCTTTCTCGCTGTCTCTCTGTGTCTCTGTCTCTCTGTGTCTCTGTCTCTCTATATGTCCCTGTGTCTCTGTCTCTCTGTGTTCCTGTGTCTCTGTCTCGCTGTCTCTCTGTGTCTCTATCTCTCTGTGTCTCTGTCTCTCTATATGTCCCTGTGTCTCTGTCTCTCGGTGTTCCTGTGTCTCTGTCTCGCGGTCTCTCTGTGTCTCTGTCTCTCTGTGTCTCTGTCTCTCTATATGTCCCTGTGTCTCTGTCTCTCTATGTGTCCCTGTGTCTCTGTCTCTCGGTGTCCCTGTGTTTCTATCTCGCTGTCTCTCTGTGTCTCTATCTCTCTGTGTCTCTGTCTCTCTATACGTCCCTGTGTCTCTGTCTCTCGGTGTTCCTGTGTCTCTGTCTCGCGGTCTCTCTGTGTCTCTGTCTCTCTGCGTCTCTGTGCCCCTGTGCCCCTGTGCCTCTGTGTCTCTGTGTCTCTCTATACGTCCCTGTGTCTCTGTCTCTCGGTGTCCCTGTGTCTCTGTCTCGCTGTCTCTCCGTGTCTCTGTCTCTCTGCGTCTCTGTGTCCCTGTGCCCCTGTGCCTCTGTGTCTCTCTGTGTCTCTGTCTCTCTGCGTCCCTCTATCCCTGTATCTCTGTGTCCCTGTTCCTCTGTCTCTCAATGTCCCTGTGTCTCTGTCTCTCTGTGTCTCTGTCTCTCTGTCACTGTGTCTCTGTCTCTCTGTGCCTCTGTGTCTCTGTATATCGACCACACAGGGGGTGATCGGTGCACTGCTCGATGAGATTTCCGAATGGAATCTCCGTCTGCTGGTGACAGCGGGCCCCGCGAGCACGCACGGTGCCAGTGACCGCCGCGCAAATTCAGAATATTGATGTAAACTGGAGGAATCCGATGAGCTATGAAGCTCTTTGTCGCAGGTGTCCAGTCGAATTCAAAATGACAACAACGCACGCGCGTGGGAAAAGGGACGCTTGAAAACGTCACAACGATTCGACGGAGATTCGCACGACGTGCAACAACAACAACAACACCAATATTGTTAATCATACATCGTGGCAACTCGTAACACCGCTCCACCGCAGCCGCACGGGTACCCGTTCGCTCTCGTGGACTCAGAGAGAGACGACTCACACGGGCGAGGAGGAATCACGTGCGAGAGCGATAAGGCAGCGACGCACACAACGCAGAGGCCTGGCGCTACCAGCAATTGCCCAAGCTCTGCCGTCCTCTACGTATGAAGACGAGAAAACCCGCGCGTGCGAGGGGTGGGGGGATGGCAACACTCAGATCAGAAATTGTATTCATACTGGAGGAATCCGAGGAGCAATACAGCTCTTTTTTCACAGACGTCCACTAGATGGAACAGTTCATATTGGCCCACAAGTCGCTGTACCACCTTCTCCCCGTTGAGCCACAGGTACGGCTTCTCCTCTCGACGCCCATGGGAAGCAGGGAGTTTCACATCGTCTGTGTGCGTGATCCACCAACCCTCGCTTGCTGCCGCCACAGTGCTGGCTCACAGGCAGCCCACGTGCAGCAGTGGCAGCAAAGCCACCGTCACCACCGCCACCACCGCCACTACCGCCATCACCACCGCCACCACCACCACCACTGCCACCACCACCACCACCACTATCGCCACCACCACCACCATCGCCACCACCACCACTGCCACCACCACTGCCACCACCACTGCCACCACCACCGCCACCACCACTACCACCGCCACTACCACCACCGCCGCCACCACCACCACTGTCACCACCGCCACCACCACCACCGCCACCACCACCGCCACCACCACCACCGCCACCACCACCACCATCGCCACCACCACCATCGCCACCACTACCGCCGCCACCTCCACCGCCACCACCATCGCCGCCACTACCGCCGCCACCACCACCGCCACCACCACCGCCACCACCACCACCACCACCGTCACCACCACCGCCACCACCACCGCCACCACCACCACCACCGCCACCACCACCACCACCACCGTCACCACCACCACCACCGTGTGCCTGGGTGTTCACGCTCGGTGCGCGTGCAGCACCCAGCGTGAACTCCACTGCTGGATGAGGACCTCTCCGCGTCAGTGCGGGGTCGTGGGGGGCTATTTGACCAACGTTCCGGAGCGCCACTCTTGGTCAGCACGGGTTCGTGAAGGCGTGGGTGGGGGGCGAGTGTAGACGTGTCGGCATGGGCTTTGTTGCACTGCCCTCTGTGTGCCGTCCACAATCTTTACTCAGCGAGCAGCAGCAGCAGCAGCCCGAGACCAACCCGTGCCACGCCCATCCACCAAGCGACTTCCAGGTTCAACTCTCCTTAACGCCTGTCATCGCCATCCTGGATGACTTGGCCACAGAGAGGTAAGAGATAAAGGCGCAGCCCTTGAAATATATTTGCGCACCACCGCTGTCGGAAATTCCTTCGATAGAGATCCCTCGAGATACGAGATTTCCCCCTCCAGAAGGGTTTAAAGACCCCATGTCACCATGCTGGTCACACACAATGTGCATGGGATTTTTCACGCTTTTGGCCTCTTCTTGTTTTCCAATTTTATTTTTTTGGGAACAAACCAACAGCAACCAAAAAAAAAACACACACAACGAAATCACAGGCGCACAGCGAACTCGCATTCCTCACCCGCGGTGAGGCCAAGCGAGAGAGTGACTGCTCCCCCCCCCCGCCAGGCTCCCCCTACCCCCCAGCCACCCCCCCCCCCCCCCCCCCCCTACGCCGCGCGTGTAATCATAGCCCCGCGCGAAATTGGTTGAAGCTCCTCGCCTCTCGACAAACTCAAACATGAGCGCGATGTGCCACATTCTTGGGTCGTGTGAGTTCTGAGACAGACGTGCGAATGAGAATGCAGAGTTATGGGTAGGAGGGCGGGGGTGTGGGGGAGGCGGGGGGGCGGGGGGGGAGGGACCGGGGGGGGGCGAGCTGGGAAGCGTGGGTGGGATTGGTGTGGGTCCCCAGAAATCTTGAGCGAGCAGGTCCTCAGAATCCTGGGCGTGACGTCCCGGCTCCGCGTGGCTCCTCCACGCGACCCGTCCGTGGTTCTACCCTGTGGTAGCGCTTGGCAGGCTCACCTACCATAGGGTAAAACCACTGGCGGGGCACGCGGGGTATGCACGGGGGGCATGGCCATGTAGGGCCCGGGCAACCTGCAAGACAATGAGATAACGGTCATCATCATCATCATTTAATCAATCGTTTTCAGTTGCATTTATTTGGTATAGCCCTGTGAGACCATTCGGCTCTTGAATCGGGTGCAACCGCAACAAACAAAAAACATGAACAAGAAAACATCTTAAAGTGGCAAGAAACATCTTAAAGTGCCTACGCGCAATGGACAAAAATCCAGGAAAAAGCAGCAAAGTCTTCCAGAAAAAGCACCGAATATCAATGCTCTGTGCAAAAATCCCAGTGGGATGCAAGTCAAACAATAACAACCATAAGAAATTTTAGAATAAAGTTATCAGTCTTACTCTGTACCACAACAAACAAATATGGCTAAACCAAAACGTTTTAAAAATCACCAAAATAAAGCTATCAAAACAATGTAACAGTGATCATAGGAACTGTGATTGAAATTTTACAATAAACGATATACATAACATGTACTACCAAACTTTGCAGCCATAGCTGGCTATGGCCATCATGATCGTATATATTAACAATGCATCATTTCATGCGCTATGAAGAAGTGTCATTGCCCGAAACGTTGCCCATTATATCTCTCTAAATCAGCTTTCGCCTACTCTCGTAAACCACGTGACTTCTGTGTGGCCACCCTCACTCTGAACCCCTCCCCTTCCCCTCTCCCCGCCCACTGCGAGGACAGACGCTGCTCCTACGCGCATCAGCAGCAGCATCAGCAGCGTCGAGGCCCTGATTCAGCCTCCTGCCTCTCCTCATCTCTCCTGACCCCTGTGCTCCCGTTTCTCCGTTCCTGCTCCACCCTTCGCCTTGTATTTCCCATTTCCTTCTTTCTGTCTTTTTCCCAAAGTGTCTTTTCCCCTACTCGCCTTTGCCGTGCCGCGGGTACAACGGTGGCGAGAAGTGATATTTAATTTTAAGGCCACAGCGTTATTGACGAATGTGTTCAGTTGTATACATATACAGGCCGCCCCTCGCATAACGTGCGACATTCGTTCCTGAAAAATGCAGCGCGCTGTGTGAAGCCTATTTTCTCATAGACATACATGTTGTAAGGTGGGATGCGTTATCGAATAAAAAAATAAGTATGATTTCGTTATTTTAGACATGGATTTACAAAATACGTTTACATTTAATGATACAAATATGAACATTATTAAAAAGATTACTACTGCAATGACGCACCTCCGATTAATATGGTTGGCTATGTACAGTGCGAAATATGTTCAACATACGTACATACATCATATTGAGATTTTAGTTGGTTAATCTGCGAAATATATGTTTTACTTTTTACAATTTTAAATTATTATGTATTTTAAAATGTTTAAGTTGACCCTTTTTCTTGTTTTTTTATTGAGTGCGCAACTGTGAAACGCAGAGCGTAAGTGTGAAGAATGTCCCTAAAATATGAATCGCGTAACTGCGAAGTCGGGCCTGGTGGGGGGGGGAGGGGCGGGAGATTCACTAACTCTCCCACTCACTCACCAATCCACCTTCTCACACACACACTCACTCTCCCATCAGCCTACTCGATCATCCACACACTCAATGTTAAACCCACCAACTCACTCATCCACTCACCTACCCACTCATGCACTGACCCAACCACTAAAACACACATTAACTATACAAGTAACAAGCGCACTGGTGTGTCAAGAGAGGAGGAACCCCCTTCCCCCACGCAAGACACTCACTCACTCACCCACTTACCCACTTACTCAGCCAACAACCCACCCACTCACTCACCCACTCACTCACCCACTCACTCACTTATTATACATGCATAATTGCAAACTATAAAACAATACAACCATCACCATTGTCATAATCAATTTATCATCATTAGAAATATCATCCATATATTAATCAACATCTTCATTATTATCATCATCAATCCGTCACCAAAGCCATCAATCATCGCCAACATCATTATGAACATTACTCGATCTATGAATCTGCACCATCGGGCTAAGGATCATCGCCTGTCAATCTTCATCCCTGACGCGCATCCCCGTGACTCTGAACAGTCACGTAAGTACGTGTGTACTTTGAACCTCTTTCGCACCGTACGTATCCAACCGTGCCAATCGTGTACTCTATGTCTGTGCTGCTGCACAGCTGGTCCCGGGATGGCACTCTCGCCACCAGCCACGCGCAGTCAACGCCTCTCTTAGATTTGGGCGTCACTCGTGCATTGATCTGGTCACTCGACCAGACAAATGAATTGGTGGCAGTTTAACACGTAGAAGGCTTTCGCGACCAATATCATCGATAATACAGGGGTTTTTTTTTTTACAGGGGTTTTTTTAAATGTGTCGTTACACCCAAGAAGAACACGTGAGTGACGTCATCACGCCTACGACTCTATTTAAGTAACGAAACAGGTGGACTTCTCTACAAATCTGGCTGTCGCCTGATGAAGCTGGTTGTAATTACTGGCGAAACGTCGTACTCAGATTGTAAATGTTGTAGCTTGGCTCTCCAACACACCGGTGTGCTGTACTAGTGACGAATTGGCCACGTTCTGTTCACGTGACAACCCTTACTAGTTGGCTGTGTCGGGTGGTGGCGGGTTTAACGACACAACATTTATATATTTACGCGATCTAATCCCCCCCCAAAAAAACCCCCTCTATTATGGATAATATTGGTGGCAGTGGTGCACAAAACACAAACAACAACAAACACACTGTGGCCTTAAAAAACATACACACGCATATATAAACATACACATATATATCAAACATATATAGAAAATTGGCGACGTTTTTGCTCAGTAGCCCTTCTGCAGTGGCTCTACTACTCTGGCCTATCTACGATTAGTACGGTCGGCTACGTAAGGTGTGAAAGAAGTTAAAAACACACACATGAACACATGGCTGGGCCTTGACTCGGCCCCTCAACGAATGAGGCGTCGTGTGCCACTTTATGGAGAATTCAAAAAGTGGTTGTCCGATGGATCGACTCGCACTCGCCATAGGAATATGGAATTTCCACCACTCGCTCAGGGCTGTAAACAAGCGATGCGCGCTCTCTCAATGCTCATTTGACCAGGGGAAAAAAACTCACCTTTGACACGAGACCCAAAACAATGTAGAACTACTCTTTAGTCTGAGCCTGCCCGGACACCTCAGGTCGTCGCTCCCACTGCTCAAGTAGCGCCTCCCACTACTCCGGGAGCCCCGCCCACTGCTCATGTAACCCCTCCCACTATTCATGTAACATCGCCCACTGCCCAGCTAGCCCATCTCACTATTCAGGTTTGACCCGCCCACTGCTCATGTAACCCCTCCCACTATTCAAGTAACATCGCCCACTGCCCAGCTATTCCATCTCACTATTCAGGTTTGACCCGCCCACTGCTCAGGTAGCCCCGCCCACTAAGGTAGCCCCCACCCACTGCCCACACCACGAGGTCAGAACCTTGTAAACTGGGTTCAGGACCGAGTTTGACAAATGTATCGGCGGAGACACGGGGACAGAGTTTCTGTATCTACCCGGACTGTCCCGGCCAAACAGTGACCTTTGACGGCTTCACTGAGCGTGATGTATTCTAACATAGTTTTGATTAATTGGAGTTAGAAATGATAGAAATTTGCGTCGAACTAGGAGCGATTTCTTACAGAGAGGGTCTTTGTCCATAAACAGTTCACCAGGATTGGTTCAAGTGAGCCTGACTCCACTGACGGGACATTGATTATGGAAACCGGTCCTGAGTTTGCTTGCTTAGAACAAATGCAGCTGATAATAATTCACGTCCAAGAGGCTTGTCCAGAAGAATGGGTTGCGTAAAAATTATTTTAATTTATTTCATCGTGAAAAGACAAATATGGGAAGGAGGAGATCGTAAATTTCAAGCGAGCCCACGCCCACCGCTGTATCTCCAGTGCTGAATGTTTAACTACACACTACGCCAGGTACTCATTTACGGCTGAGTCGACCTAGGGGAGGCCCACAACCGCTTCAGATAATCGTCACCGGTGTTGGCCGTGAACGGCGATCGAACTCCAGTGGCCGGGGTTCGTAGCGCAGGGCGCTAACCGCTGCGCCACCGCCACCCGCTCCCCACCCCAACCCAAGACACTTCGCCGTCCAACACTAATTACAAGCTGCCAGGCCGCAGCAATAAGTGAGCCTCCACTCCTCCAGTCACGCGAACTTGCACCCACGCGCCGGTGCACAGCATCGCGTCACTATTCCGTTCAATAGCCGCGCTTTAGAACCAAGTGTCTCGTTAGCAACATACCACTGCTTGCCAATGAGCTGCGTGGTGAGTTTATTGCTGGGTGCTGGTGAGCTGCGTGGTGAGTTTAGTGATGGGTGCTGGTGAGCTGGGTGGTGAGTTTAGTGCTGGGTGCTGGTGAGCTGGGTGGTGAGTTTAGTGCTGGGTGCTGGTGAGCTGCGTGGAGAGTTTAGTGATGGGCGCTGGTGAGCTGGGTGGTGAGTTTAGTGCTGGGTGCTGGTGAGCTGCGTGGTGAGTTTAGTGATGGGTGCTGGTGAGCTGCGTGGAGAGTTTAGTGATGGGCGCTGGTGAGCTGGGTGGTGAGTTTAGTGCTGGGTGCTGGTGAGCTGCGTGGTGAGTTTAGTGATGGGTGCTGGTGATCTGCGTGGAGAGTTTAGTGATGGGCGCTGGTGAGCTGCGTGGAGAGTTTAGTGATGGGTGCTGGTGAGCTGGGTGGTGAGTTTAGTGATGGGCGCTGGTGAGCTGGGTGGTGAATTCAGTGATGGGCGCTGGTGAGCTGCGTGGTGAGTCTAGTACTACGTGCTGGTGAGCTGCGTGGTGAGTCTAGTACTACGTGCTGGTGAGCTGCGTGGTGAGTCTAGTACTAAGTGCTGGTGAGCTGCGTGGTGAGTCTAGTACTACGTGCTGGTGAGCTGCGTGGTGAGTCTCATAGCGACTGGTTCAAGTAAGCATCGTGAAACACGTGCAGTGTCCTCGGACAGACAGACGAGTACAGACAGACGGACACCCACGTCACGTCTCCTGCAGTAACGTATCCCG